CCTTAATCCTTCCCGTTCTGTGTTATGTGTTGTTGGTGTGACTGGGTTACAATATTTAATTGCACCGTTGGTTTGGGAGTGGTTTTTCATTTGACTAATATTTTTACTTATATTTACATTCAAAAACAAGACAATATTGCATACAAGAAACTGGCATACTGATTAAATTCACAAGTAGGGTACAGGAACCAAAACAGTAACAAAGTTCTTGTATATAATCTTTAATAAAAAAAATCTGTTGAATAAAAACACGATTTTGTATTGCTCTACGTTAATTAAACATAGCATTCAAATAGTATTTCCTAAATCATTAACATTAGAATTAAATACGTCTACCATGTATTATTCCGGTGGAGATCATGTTACCTTTCGTTTGGAGAATGTTGAGTCCAATTCGATGAAGTGGTTGTCGAGTTAGACGTCTCTTAATTTTTTATTCCTGCAGTCAAAAAAATAATCGTACACTTAGCTTAGCTGAACTGGGAACGGTCTTGGTGAAATTAACCCACTTGGAATGAAATGCATCTGCTTAGATTTCAATCAGTGCAAACACGAAATAGTTTTTGTTGAATAAATTTTTCCTTTAAAATTGCTTATGCTCGTGCGTCAAATTGACCCCCTTAGTATGCACCTTTTTTGACCTATACCTACACCCCATTTTGGAAAAACAAATTGCAATTAGCAACCCTATGGAGTTAGTAGTCGCCTATGCGGACGATATTAACGATGATTTCAAATTGGACCGTGTTAAACAAGCTTTTTTTGGATTTTGGAGCCTGCTCAGGAGCAGTTTTGAACCCAGCAAGACGATAGCAGTAAACATTGGAATACAACGAGGATAATATCAACCAGTCCATCTGCAAAGAATCAGTTATGATCTTCGGTGTAACCTACTTTAACTCGCTGATGAAAACCATCGATTTCAACTGGGGAGAAACCATTGCATCTTATGTGGTTATTCAAACGAAGAAACCTGACTCTGCATCAGAAGGTTATTGTTTTGAATCCGTGCATTGCGTCACGTTTGTGGTACTTAGCTTCAGTTCTTAGAATGTCAAACTCTGCAATTTCCAGAATCACATCGCAAATAGGATATTTTGACGTAGGACTACGTCTTTAATTTCTATACTGGGGGTCACATTAAAAAAATTAAAATTCAGATATTTAATGAAAAATCCCAAACACGGACGTAACGATAGAGCGCAAATCGAACACACGACACATTGCGCATGCTCACATAACCGAGCTCTATGCTCGGTTTACCGCTCACCATTTCACCAATGAATGGAAGGGAGGAGAAAAGCAGCGGTAATACAAACGCTTGCCAAATAGTTTTCTTCGTCAATTGCTTTCGAGCAACGGACAGATAAGCGTCAAACACGACGTATGAGTGGAACAGCACGCATTGCACCAATACGAAAACGACGACGAATGCACCCATATCGACCGGAGGAAAGGCTTCCCGCAACAAGCAGCATGACTGAGCCGCCGTCATCCGGTCGGCATCGACTTGCACTGGTGTGAAAGAGTAAAGCTGGGTTTAGACAGGGCAAGTCAATTGATCGAGTCAGTTGAATTCAACTGACTTGAACGCTAATTGAACGTGTAAACCATTCCATTCAACTGACTTGATCAACTCGCTTGAATTGAAAAAAGTTGAATCAGGCTCAACTTTTCAAGCCAAGCGCTAGTTGTTCATTCACAACAATCCAATTCAATGCTGCCCGGAGCACGTCTTGGTCTGATGTGAATGCTGCCATATACTTGCAACCAGGAACGCTCCAGCCTGTAGTAAAAACGTTGCATCACTTCTGATCGGCCACAGATGTGTCCATCATCTTTAAGTGCATTGCGCGTTACAGCGTCACCATCATCGGCGTCATGAAGCAATGTCATATATGTACCTAGTCCGGGAGAGTGGATTTGCCGTCTCTTTTATTCTGCCGCTATTCTTATGAAACAGCGAACTTGGCGTCACGTTCGCTGTTGCATAAGTAAGCGGCAGAAAAAAAGAGATGACAAAGTTCAGTCAGTGGGACATAGTGTAATATAGAACTGGTCGTGACTAACGTCAAGTAAATCGCACAATGCGCATGCGCATGCTCCCGTCATTTGCACCGCTAAGAAGTTGCAACTCTCAAATCTTACACTTCTAACAATGTTATAATAATTTTTACTATTCAACGATAAATTTTCGAAAAATTAAAACAACTAAAAGTAAACACGTTTGTTCCAATCACTCACGGCCTTTGCACTACATATTCCAGACCTTAGATGTAAAGTATTCATCACCTATATCTTTTAGGCCAATATACTTACTGATATAGGTAAGGGATGGTCCATTAATTATGTCACGCAAATTTGGCCCATTTTCAACCCCCCTCCCCCCCCCCCTTTGTCACATTTTTTGTATGAACCTTAATTTTTTTTGTATGGCTCGTCACAGTTTTCAAACCCCCCCTCCCCCCTAGATGTGTGACATAATTAATGGACGACCCCTTAGTAGTAATATCATCATTCAGAATTTGATGTTACAAACAAACCTTTAAAATTACAGATATCAATAATCACAATTTTTCATTCAAACTGTCAAAAGGACACCAGAAAAAAAAAAACAAATAACAGCCTTTTTCAGGGCCACCATTTGAAAAACGGAAAGAGTTAAGATAATAGATTATCGATCATTTAAAAGAACTAAAGGCTCAAAATATTTGTTCCGTCCACTAGCTTCCGTTCGTGCCCCTAGGCAGAGACCCTCCTTCTTTTTTATGTGGTCGTTTTCCTACAAGAGTCCCTATGGAGCTCTTAATTGTGGCGGGCTTAATCTCCATCTTCCCATGCACAAAAGAAAATCACTTCCGGTAAAATTGGAGACAAAAAAAAAAAGTAGGATTAAGGACTTTTTGCTTCCTGAATTAATTAATATTAGAAGAAGTAGTAGAAAAAAGGTTCAAAAACGTTACGTTATGTTAAATTTGTTTTAGATTTCAACAATGTTTTGTTTTTTTCAGGCTATGAACATTGTTTTATGTTGTGAAAATGTGAACCTGTAAGTTGTGATTTAAACTAGTGTAATAAAAGTGATAAAAAAACAAGATGCCGTCCATGACAAATTTGTAGAGAAAATTAGAGTAATTTTTAACTGATTTTGAGTAAAAATTACAAAAAAGTGTTAATAACTTTAATACTTCTGCATTGCCACTTAAAATTTTTGATGACACGAATCTCAGAAACTATAAATCCGGAATGATTTGAGATTTCGGCGTAATTGCTTTTGTAAACAAACACGTCAATTGCCGATTTCTCTTGAATAAAAGCTTAATTTCATAAAGAAACTATACCATATAGATGATAGAAGAATCATTCCTCTACCTCATTATGTAATTACTTTTCGTCCAAATCTCAAATCACTCCGGAAACATTTCATGTACGAAATTATAATCACTCTTTTGCTGCACTGCAGCATCCATGTAATTACAATTTCCTGTACGAAGTCCTTATAGTTTCTGGGATTCGTGCCATCACAATTTTGAAATGGTTTAAATAAATCTGTCATAAAAACGGCAATATGTGGATACTATCAACCTTCACCTAATTTTTTGTAATAAATTTTAACATGGTGTGCTGAGATGATTAGCGGGATGCTGCAATTATAGAACGATGCCTTGGAAGAGTATCAGCGATGCAAGAGGGTTACGGGAACCCTGTTTTGTTGCTGAGAAATTAACAGTATCTTGGGTGATTCAAGTTTCGCCTTAATGATCGGTCGGATGATTGGATATTTGTGCCTATAATGTTATGGAGTTCGTGTAATGAATATGCGTGACACAAAAGAGAGGGTTGTCGTCAAATTTTTGGACGCCATGGTTCGCCCTCAAATGGTTTTAGGATAAGGTTCACCGGGGAAAATTGAAACGGATAGCGTATCTATAATTGGAAGTAAGTTTTCAATATGATCATTTTTAAGTAGCATTGTGTACTAGCGTATTATTCACTTCCACTATGAGATATGCCTTCTTATTTAACTTTCCCCCGTGTTTCAACTTGCCCAGGTATACCCTATTGATACATCCACTCGATAACTGTTGTATGTTTTTCTAACAATAGTGGACCGATTTGCTGATGAGCCTATACATCATAAATTATCATATTATCTCAAAAATTGTAAACAAGACGTGCGATACCGTCTCGGTGACATAAACAAACATGAAAAACAGCTCATAATTTGATTAATTCTAGGAACTGCTTGGAAGTTTGATAACACATACAAAACTACAAGAGACCGACCCAACTGCGGCCAAACATCTTCGCTGCGGAGTATCGCAAGAAGTGCCCCGCTAATTGAGTGCTTTATCTTGTCCACTGAACTGTGCTAAAACAAAACTCTTGTTCTAATACGAGGCAAGTGTCTGCAAGTTATTTGTCTTGTTTCAGCTTGATTTATCGCTCCTACTTTTTATCCTTCACACCAATTTCCGCACAATTTTTCACCCACCCCTCCTTGCACCATCGTGGCCCATTTCAGAGCAAGTGGCCGGATTTTCTGTCTGTCTGACCACATCGTCCCCAACAGCAGCCGTTGTCGCTGGAACCATAGCCATCCGTACAGTACCGTTGCATAACGACATCCTCTCACCTCGATGCACTATATTTGTGCTGCATCTACTTGTTTGTGTGTAGTTTGTTCTCTACCTACTTGTGAACCAGAAAAAGCTACAACCGTCAGCGAAACTTTTGTGGGCAACTTTTGTGGGAAACTTTTTACCATGCACCATGTCTACCACACCCAGCCAAAGAAAACTTTTGTCAACTGACGATTGTGGAAAGCACTTTCAAATGGTGGCACATTTATTATTTACAACGCCACAAAGTGGATAAGCTTGTATGTCCAAATATATTTTCGGGGATCATGTTCCACTAGTTTTGCCATCTAGGACAAAGGGATGAAATCGGGGGCAAGTTTCCTCGTCCTATTGTTCACAACGTGGCGCAAAACTTACCTGATCGGTGAAATTATCGGTATGAAAGACGATTTTGACGGCATTTGTTTCACTGATGAATGTTTGCGGTTGCTCGGACTCACCGCAAAACTGACCCGGCTCACGTCGATTCGAAACGTCGGTTTTGCCATTGCCGTCCACAATCTGAAAATGGAATCGAGAAAAAAGCGTGTGTGAGTGAGAGAGTGCTGATAATGCCGGAAAATTAATTTTATTTTAATGGACAGGGGTGTTTTCCGAATAATCCCGGTGTCCTACCAAATTCATCGGTGCATTCTGTTCCGCGTTTTCTACGGTTCATGGCTTTATTTAAAATTATGATTCGTTAATCGTCATTATTTTGCACAAACATGTTTTTCCGTGACATTCGCTGCCAGAATAGAGGATGATAATTCCCTGATAAGCTGTTTTCCTTTTATTTATATAGTTTTTCCCCAACAGACACGAGCCGCAAAAAAAAAGTTCCAGCTCTACGGCGTGCACAGGTGTGTTGGAAGAGGATGGAAAATATGGAAAGAGATATTATTTGCTTACCTATTTCGGTTCTACGGTCAGTGGTGGCAAATGTACATATTTTGCTAAATCATCGTTCAGAGCAAAACAACCAGCACACAAGCGGTCGTGTATTAGTACATTTCAAGCGAACGGCGGGGAAAGAGAATAAGAGGAATGCCGCGATCCAATTTTTTAAAACAGTTTATTGCCATTAAATGACGTGTAACAGTAAGTTATCAACTCCCTTATTTACGCATAATTTTAAAATCTATGCTGCTGAGTAGTTAGTATTCATTTTTACCTTTAATTCCACGCAATAAACATCAAATAAATGCAGTAATCAGCCAGAAATCAGCAAAATTCTACATGATATAAATTTAAGTCATGCGCTGCTTCTTTATGCGAATATATTTTGTCGTTGGCAGACAGAAAACAGTTCAGAATTGTCACGACATTTTTTTCCGTTTGCCAGTTTGTTTTTGTGTGTCTCCACTGTGGTCATTTCGAAAAGTATCAAATGTTAAGAAAAATATGTTGAAATCCGATAAGGGTAAAGATGGACATAATAGGAAAGATGGACGAACAAGCCTTGTTTGATAATGCTATCGAAGGTTATGAGATTTGGATTTAGCATACGAAGTCGAGTATGCGAGAAAATGAGCGCTTCGTGTTTGCTTTTAGGCTATCAATATTCAGAAGCATGGAGAGAGCAGTGGAGAAATCACAGGTCTGATAATCGCAACGTTCGTGGTTTCGAGTCCAGTTGGCAATCTGCGGTCTTCACTAACATCCTCTGATGATAAATCTCACACAATTTTAAGCGAATCTTACATCCCCCGGTTGGGTGTAGTATAAAAGACTATTTTCTTGTTTTCACCTGTTTGTCAAAGGACCCGAACCACCATTTATTAAATCTGTTTTCGATATAGCCATCACAAATTCTTTATTGTCTTCTTATTGTTTATGATGTTTTTTTGATAAGGGGAAATAGATGTAATGTCGGCCTAACCCAAGTAAGAATTTAGACTTGTAGAATGCTATAAAACCTCGATAAAGCCTGCAATGTTTCTTGGGAAATGCCCCTTATTTGGGCCTATACAAAAATTCAGCAATCGACTAAATTTTCAATAGCGACCAAAAATATCCATTAGTACCGTCCCAATGACTCGTTCTTCTAGATAAAATTGATAAATAGCAGATTTTTAGCGATGGGCCCAATCTTAGATCCATAGGCCAACATCAGAGTCATGTCCCCTATATAATCATTCAAAGTTTCATATTTCTTGAACTCAATTGTTTGAGCATCACGCATGTTTTTCTACATTCATCGAGCACTATCAAACTAACCCAACATCAATATACTGATGTTCGGTCACAAGACTAACACATTACTAACGAATTGACTATAGGATCCTCAGTATTTGTTTATAAAAATTAGAAAACATTCATTGTTGTAAAACATATTTGGAAAATAGGTAGTTACAAAAAACTATCAAATTTATTGTTGAACGGATGTACGGAAGAGGAAATTAATTTCGGTTTTATGTAATGAGCTCAAATTTGTTCGTTTGTGTTTGTGTATGTTTTTCCTTTTTTTAATTTAGAAGTTTTCCAAAATTTGTTAAATGTTGTTTTGGTGCTGCGATGGTGATTGTATTTGGTGAGCTTGTTTCAGTTAAAAACAATCCGTTTGTTTCCTGGCAGGATGACCTCGATCGCGCGTGATCTGTTTTGCAGTTTTAGATAGAACATAGGAAAAGCAATACTGTCGGCTAATATTGTAGAAATTTGTACCTGTTAGATTTTGGCCGGAACGCTTCAAAATGTTTAGAAAAATAGAGTGCACGCTTGATCCAGTTTGGGTTACATTATTGACTGCTTTCGAGAAAGTAAGTTCATTTTAATATCTTGTTTAATCAGGGCCTTAACAATCGTTACGTTGGTCAAAGTTTGTTATGATGTAAGAGGCACGATAGCCTGAACAATCCGACCAAAAGCAAATCGAAACATTGAACGTGATGTGAAAGTGGAACTTAAGGGGTTACGCCTACCTACAAACTTTCAAAAATCGATTTTTTTTACTGTACTAATCGAAAGTATATAAAGAATATTTCCTCAAAAGATCAAGTTGATCCGATGAAAATTGTGAAAGTTATGCGACGTACAAAAATATTCACTTATAGTGGACTAAACCCAACTTGAAACTTTAAACACGATTATCTCGGAATCATATTTTCAAAACCGGTGCCAAAAATTTCTCGAAATGTATACATTCGATTCGTCCGATTCGTTTTGATTTCTGTTCAGTACTATTTTGTGCAGTCCACGATCGTTCGGATTTCGTCTATCATTTAATTTCGATTTTGTACAGCCGATCAAAGACAAATTTTAAGGATCAAAAATCGGCACTTCAACTTTGCAAGGCCACCATTTTGTCAAAAAAAAAAATTAAAAAAAAAAACTTGACGATCAAGGACTAGTTTAACACATGCTTAACGATTTGGCATGGTTTTTTTTTTTATTTCAGATGATTACATCACAAACCGCAGTTGGCACCGCAAAAAGCGTTTTTTAGAACATCGTCCACGGGGAGCAGCTGTGTGGGGCACCAGGACCTCGTTTTTACAGCATCGACTGATAAATGTACCATTTAATGTGTGTTCAATAAACGGCAGAAAACCGATTTTCAATATGTTGCGTCGTTTTCGAGAAAAAAAAAATCCAAACTTTCGCTTTTTTTCGGTCTTGCAGGTAGGCGTAACCCCTTAATAAAGGCTTAAGTGCTTTTCCGTAGCTTTTAGTTTTCGGATTTGAAAGATCTTTGGTTACATTGGTTTGATTCCTGACCAGAAAACCGCGGTCCCAGGTCCTTTAATATTAAAGAGATTTATGGTCAAATCGCTTGTTTATCGTGTATGTTGCGAAACTTCGTCGTCGTCGGTGCTGCGTTTGAATGGTTACAACAACTCGAGTAAAGGTATTATGTGATATGAGGGTCTCGGTGGCCTTGGAGCGATCGTGTTTTTTACTGAGCAGAACATCATGAGTCTAATCTTAGACCCATCCACATTCAAGATTCGTCGATCGTTTTATTTGTTAATATGACTACATGGTAATAACAACAACTTGATGAGGAGTTCGTTTGCTTACTGGCAAACGATTTTACTTACTAAGCAGAAGACCTTGGGTTCAATCCAAAGCTCCTTCGCGATATATTATTGTTAGAACATCAATTCATCTTATCGTTTACTAAAACGAACCCTGACCGGACAATCCCATATTCTTTGGTTCAATGATTGGGCACACGCAAGAGTCTCGGCCCTTTTGCTGCTGGAGAGTGGTGTATGCGACAGGTTGGAAGGCCGCATAATATCAGTGTTTACCCAGCTAAAGCTGCTCCCCTTTTTATTTTTTCTCGTTAAACTCCTTCTCTCAACAACACTCTTAGCCATTAGTAGAAAGACGCTTAACAATTTTTTCGGCGAATTATGATGGTTCGTCTCTATGCCTGCTCAGTTAAAAGCTATAAAGGTACTAATTATTTATTTTCTCGTTCGAAAAATTGGATTTTTTTTCCTTTGGTTTGTTTTTTCCGTCGATCTTGTTTTCCGTGCTGAGCACCAATGCTACCGACGTGCCAGGAAGGCAGCTCCCACACCTGGACCCTACCTATCGACCCATCAACTCATGAACCGGGGACCAACGGCTTTACTTCCCATCCGAAGGAAGGCGTGAACAGAGATGTTATGCCTCAGAACATCCCGGCGGCGCCGACTGGGATTGAACCCAGGCCTGCTGGGGTGAGAGGTAATCACGCTTACCACTACACCACCGGCGCCGTTAAAAATTGGAATTAGATAAATATTTAATTGAAAAGCTATAAAAATCTTTGAAAGTTAATTCTCTTGATCAGTTTCCTCTTTTGATGACCATGGCTTCACTAACCTATTTCGCACTATTTCTGCTATGCTCTTCTATAATCCAGAACAACAAACGTATCAATGAATGTGTTTGCCGTCGAGTTATTAACGAAACAGAAAGTGGAAGAAGAAAATCGATTAAAATTACTTGCACGTCCTGCTTCCAAGTTTGGTTACATTACAACTCTGGAGAGCATTTTGTGTGGTTGCTGGGGGTGTCTGGTTCTGAATATGGCGATGAGTGTGCAAAATGTTACGCAATTGCATTCTCCCTATTCGCACACGCCCGAATATCGGAGGCGAATGCTACTTCAACTTGTTAAGTCTAGAAACGATTCTCTGATGACTGTGTTTGAGAAGCAGCATATGCATGTACGTAATTGGTGGATTTTTTAGTTATTTCGACGCTTTTGGACAATGCTTGACATTTACCTTTCTTCAATAGTTGTATAGTTTCAATATCTCAATAAAAACCAAGTGCTACCGATGCGTAAAAATATTTCTGATCGATTGGTGATAAAATTATTGAAATTGGTCCAGGGGCAGCTGAGTTATTAACGTTCAAAATCTTTCATAATTTCGATACATGTTCCATTTTAGGTTTTCACAAAGTGTACCCCGATATAGAAATCACAAACGTAGTCCTACGTCAAAACAACGTTGCCGGAGATAGTAAACGCCTGTTGTTGATCATTATTTTATTATTCATGTTTTTCTATAGAAACGTTT